GTAGAATTAATTCGTAACTCTGGTAAACATAATTTTGGTAGAATTAATTCGTAATTCTGGTAAACATAATTTTGGTAAAATTTAATTCGTAACTCTGGTAAACATAATTTTGATTCATAACTCTGGTAAACATAACTCTGGTAGGACTAATTCGTAAACATAATTTTGGTAGAATTAATTCGTAACTCTGGTCAACATAATTTTGGTAGAATTATTTGTAATTCTGGTAAGGCCGCTTGAAGTTGAAACCTCGTTTAATATTATCCCCCCCTCCATCTTCTGGGTTCTCCCCCAAAAATTAAACAAATAGAAATAAAAATTTGATCGCCAGCATAGCAGTCAGGCTTTTTCGGTTTACGTCCGGGATTTCTTGATATACTATATTTAATTTTTATGTTTGTTTAATTTTCATCCCTCCCCCCTTTATAAATACAAAAAAAAATAACGTTAAACGAGGTTTTAATTTCAAGTCGCCTAAACATAACACAAGAAAAGTCACGTCAAATATGTATATAATTGAACAAATTTCATTCTCCGACGGCATCAAGGTGCCGTCGGAGAACGAACTAAGTTTACGATGTGCCAACTTTTTAATGAATTGAACTGTATTATTTTGCTTATGATATAATGGATTCGGGCCCAGCAAACCAGCCTATTGTAAACCTAATTTTTAGATTAAGTGCAACATGAAATTTATGGCGTGTTTGCATGAATCAAAAATCATAGATTTTCTCTTAGGGAACAAACTAGACACAAAAATATAATTGAAAGCCCGATTGTAGGTTTTCCTTTGGCGGCACTCTAATAATCATATCGCTACAAAGACTATAAAGATGATTTGGTATCGATCAAGTTTTATTATTTTTTTCTTTAATAGGTTATGATTACGGGGACAGAGAATACTATTTGATGTAAAGCGATTTAGATAAATACTACTTGGACTACTAGAGTAAACTTGAATTGATTCAAACAATTGAGTGGAAAGAGAATTGACATTAGATAATTTTATTTGAACTGTTTAAATTGTTCAATTATAAAAAAATTTTATGAAATTAAATCAATATAGGCAATTAAATTAAATTTTGTCAATTAACTGATTCAATTAAAATGATAACTAAAAGCATTTAAAATTGAAATATTAATATAGTTAATAATGCTGGAATTTTATTATCAAATGATTGGTCAGCCCATATGTTCTTATTTTTTCTTTTGGCATTTCACATCTAATTTTAACATTAATTTTAACAAGTTTGTAAATTAATATATGTGCATAACAATACTCAAGTTTTTGACAACAAATCAAAGATTTTCAGATTTTTCTCTTAACTATCTTTTAGAAATCATCAATAAATTTTCTTTATTCTTGTCACAGTTGTGTTTCGACGATTTTCCTATAGTTTAAACAATAGGAAAATCACATTTCAATTTAATTTAATCGTATTATTTTGCCATAATTTATCATAAATACAGTAACTTTTAAAACTAGTAAAAATACTTTATGAATGAAAAAAAATTCAATTAAAAATTCAAAAAGACATTTTAAATATATTCACAAATTGTAATTAATAAAAATGGCGGATCAAAGACCCATTATTCTTTGGTCGCATCCGAGATCTCTTTCTACGGTTTTTGAATGACCATTTCTTCAACGTTCTCAAGAATTCTATGTTATCCATGAACCAATTAGTCGTGCTTATGTGACCAAAAACTTTGAATCAAATTCCATTACCCAAACCTACAGATCTGATCACTTTGTACAACATTTCTTGTCTACTACTCTTAATGAATTTATTTTGGAATTAATTTAAATACAAGTAACCTGTTTTTTTATACTACTGCTTTGTAATTCTTCTGTTATAAAAAATAGTTGTAAAAATAATTCTTGTAAATCTGACGTTAAATATTATTGTCAAAAATGAATCGACTAACGATTAATTTCACTTTCAAGCAAAACAATGCAAACTTTTTGAAGTCTTTATATTTATGTGAAACAAAATAATAGTTGAATATTCATTTGAGAATTATTTTTAAATCCAATTTTAATTGTTCTTTAGTTTAATAATTATAATTTTATTATTTTAATATTCAATTAAATAAATTAAATTATCAAATATTATTATGAATTCAATCAAGCGAGTGAAGACTGAAAATTTATTTTGAATTTAACAATTTAGTAAATTATGATATAAACAATGATATAAATCGTAATGAATCTTTTTTTTGGTTATTACTAAAATTTCTAATTGCATAGTAATCATGACATATACAAATAAAAAATTCAAAGTAATGAAAGCTGATAAATTTTGCGAGATGGAATTCTCTAAAGAACCGAATTGCTATGATTTAAATTTTTCTTCACAAAAATTGGGTGAACACACTCGAAATAAGCTTTATTCATTCTGTTATGATACGCCAAAAAACCAGAAAGAAGCTGAAGATAAAACTAAAGAGGTTATCAAAGCATTATTTAATAAAGTTATTAATGATTCTTCAATTTTTCCAGAAAAACCTGACAAATTAGTAATTAGACTTAGTTTTGAAGAATATGATAACCTAAAACTATTTATACATGAAAATATGTTAATTAAATTAAACAAAAAATTAGTTTAACTAATTCTATATTTTAATGGATAGGATACCTATACTACCAGTAGTACATTGTACTACTGAGCTATTATCTATTAATTTTAAAAATTAATTACTATGTTTTAAATATCTTCAAATCTGAGGCATTTTTATTTATTATTTGAAAACTCTAGCTGTGTTTTATGATTTTATAAAATTTTATTTTAGTTTTATATGGTATAAATTAAAATATAAAAATTTCCAACTGTAATTAAGAATTTAAAATAATTTAATCAATAAATTTTTTTTTAAATTTGAGTTAAACTTGAATGGCTTTCTATATATGGGCGCTGTTCAATAGAAAAGGAGTAGATCTCCTTTTTAAATCTGGTCAATTTGACCAGAATTTAAAAAGAGATCTACTCCTTTTCTATTGAACAGCCCCCATATAGGGTCGTGCTTAATCACGTGATATATGACCAATCAAATTATAGAATTTTGATGATCACGGTGAAGCAAGAAATAAAAATGAAAAACCCGAAAAATACAAAAACGGCAGTCTAAACTTACCTCAGGTAGGTTAATTAAAAATGTCGGGAAGGCAATTTTGCTTATATAACTACAAGAAACCTAACCTAAACCTAATATAAGTTAATTCAATAAAATATATATATTATAATAATCTGCTTCACTTTAGACATCCGTAGCTGCGTGGTCTCATTTTTGCATACTAGATTTAATTTGTAATCCAATTTCATTCTCCTACAGCATCCAGAGGCCGTCGGAGAATGAACTGAGTTTAAAGAAATTATTAAAATTGATGTTTATAGCTAAATTGTAACTAAATTGTTTAACATTTATCATAATTTAGCTACATTAGGGTTAGATTTACAATTATAATGAGGGTTGTTTTATACTAAAATTTTGCAAGAAATTTTATTTACTAATGCGCAGAAAGTGGTTACATAGACGAAATTTTGATTATAACAGTTTTTTTTAAAAAACGTGATTTTTTGTTTTGATTTCACATTACACCTGATCTTGTAATCTAATTGGTCAATCGCTGTCGATCAGTGAAAATCTGTCGTATTATTAATGTCGCACAAATCATAGCTTTTGAGTTATGATTTTTAGCTTCTCAATATTAAAAAATTTTTGTCCTTTTCTTTATTTTCAAAATAAGATCACTTAAATTATATTGAACTTATCGACAATTTTATTTATTGGATTTAATGATTCTGATACCATTCGATTCGTCACACCAAAACAAATCAAATAAAGTAAAAAATATTCGATGGATTGCAAGATAATAAGGAAATTAAACTTGACGTAGTGGTAGCGGTAGTAAGTAAAGTTGTTCAGAATAATGACTTGTACGTAAGTACGTACTGTACATATAAAACACAGTATTAAGACGTATTTTATTTGTAAATTATGATTTATGCAAATGGATCCGGATTTATTAAATTCAAATTTATTAAATTCATGAAATTAAAGTTATGAAATCCATGTTTTGAATCTAAAATATTCTCGTAACTCAATTTTCTCCCCCATACTTCATTTAAGGTCATGGGAGTATATAAAAGCAAAATGGACTCATGGCCCTTTTGAATATTATGATGCTTATTTACAATATTGTAATAGAGCAAAGTTATGAAGTTGTAGGTGAAATTGTATCTACTACAAACTTGCACACAAATTTCTAGTTATTAATAATAATATTTGTATATTTAATAAATTTATATTCAGTGAGACCATTCTAAAATGTATCATTAGCGAAAGTGCTCGGCAGAAATAAAATTTTATTTCATTTAGGACATAATTCTATCATTATGAGAATGTATTAATATATTTTGTGTTGTTGCGCATAAATACAAATTTTGGTCGTTCAATTTTGATTTCCTAAATAAGTAACTGGACATGCAACAACTAACGCTAATTGTGTACACATAACTATGACTATTCAGGGGCTAAGTTCGCCGCAAGTACATTTTTTTCTTCTTCTTTTGAACTTGTAAACGTATATCTTTTCTTCTTCTTTTGAACTTGTAAACACTTCTTCGTGAACTGTTTTGTACATTGTAACAGTGAAAAATGGTATAAAAACTAGCCTAATAAGGGTCTCTATTTCAAAAAAACCTAATATAAAACTACTAATTCTAATAAAATTCTTCTTCTACACCTTAATTGGTAGGCTTCGATCGAGGCGTGGATTGATTTGGTCCAAGAATAGGGTGTTTACGATACTGCGGTGATCACGGGAACAAGACGAAATACGATAACAACATTACAACCAAAGAAGACTCAAAGAAGACTATTATTATTTATTCATTTGTGTTGAACTCAAGAGTGAGTTGAGCCAAC